TGGGGAGAATTCAAAAGTGTTTCTCTTTGAGAATATGACATTTTTCTTGCAGAGGTTTTACATTTAATGAGTAAATAAAATAAATTGTAAGGTAAAATAACTGAGTTGTCTAAGCCTTATGAATTATATTTGAAGTCAAAAAGTTGAAATCCCAGCCACTTATGATCTGTTTACTTCTTTTCTATATTCTTGGCAGAAGATTAATTACAGAGACATATCTGATTACTTCTGCTTAATGGAGGACTTTTCATTCTACTTATGGTATTACTTCTTGATTGTCTCATAATACGTAGCTGTAGAATATATTTAAAAAAGCAAAAAAGCCCTTGTCCATATTGTCCTTCATAGGTCAGTGATTGCTAATGGGATATAAGATCAGTTCCTCCTCCAGGGCAGCAGTACACAGCTGTCCCAGGTGGGTAGTGATTATGCGTCATTATAAACTGATCCTTGTTCAGTGTTCTGTCAGAAATGAGAATTTTGTATTCAATCCATTTCTTAATGGGCAGGTGTTACAAATAAATTGGCATTAATTGGCAGCATTGTTAGTGATCTCAGTAGAAATCCAAAGGTGTGAAATGAACAAGAGGATAAATGCTGTGATTGCAGAGATGATCTCTATATAGCCACATTTTGTTAATTTTTTTGGAGGACTGGTGTGGGGAACACAAGCAGCAGCTGTTTAGTAGAACAAAAGGCTTGAAATTCATGCCATCTCAGTACCCTGAGTCAGACAAATGGGCCATCTAGACAAAAAGGTCATCCTCAGCAGATGTCCTCAAGACAACCCAAGAATAGAGGGAATATGTAGAATGATTTATGCGGTATATTCTCTTCCCCTCCAAAGAATTCTTATATAGGGACTTCTGGAGCCAGAGATTTTTACATAAAGAAATGTATTCTTTGTTTCTACCCTTACTGTATATTAGGATCCTACTGTATTTTAATAGAAAGTGAGCCATTATTTCATAGTCCCTTTCTCTGTGTTTTCACTTTTACATACATTTCTCATACAGTCATGTCAGCTGCTTCTTTTCCAGTCTAATTAATCTTTGTTTGCTTAATCGTTATTTGCATGGAAACCATTCCATACTTTTCAATATTTGCTTTTCCTGCAGCAGCAAGATTTTATTTTTGAATGTTAATCATCTGTTCATCTTCTGTTACAGTGAAGTTAATGTTATCTTTCCTCATGTGTATTGTATATTTATCTATAATATTTTAGCAGTCCTTTATCTCTCAGTCATTCAGCAACATGAGCTTACTCTGCTGCAGTTTGCAGTTTGATTTTTTTTACAGGCCAAACCAGCCCTGAAACCATTGACATTTCTTCATTACTTCTTGTGTGCAGTAAACTTAGTCTATTGCTTACCATTTTATCCAGATCACTGATCAATGATAAATCAGTGATTAATCAGTGATAATTCCAGACATATATATCTGGGATTCCCCTGATAGTGCCCTGCACAGTGAAAACTAGTTATTGACTGCAGTGTTTTGCTTGATTTATTTTAGTTATTAAATTAAGCTTTACTTAATAGTAAAGGGCTTTGTTTTACTTCATAGTAAATCAGTTAAGAAACCTTTGTGGGGGACAAATGTTTTTTGTCAGCCCAAGTATGCATTAGTGATTGGTCCTCTCGTATTTACTAACTGCTTTGGGCAACTCTAGAAGACTAATAAGGTGTGAGCACTGTTTGCAGAAGTTACATTTGGCTTGCTTCTTCCCAAGGTTGTTATATTTATCTATGTGTTTTGAAGAATGCATTGAAGAATCTGTCTCAGATTTCAGTGCTAGTAGATTATAGGGCAAATTGAACAAATTGAACTGCTGGATCTATGATAGTATTTAATTGTTGTGCAGTGGCCCTTTGGCCATGGATATGTTTTGTATATTTTGTCCTTACCCAAGATAAAGAGGTTTCTACTTTCTGCACTACCATGAACTCATTAGTAGAATATGGCTTAGTAAGAAATGGACATTTGAGACTTGGACCAGCTTGACTGCTTTCTATCCTTTCCCAGCTCTTGGTCATTTCTGGCCAAAATCACGCAGTGGGGATCCTGCATGTACAAGTAGTATAGACCTTGGGAGGGGCTGTGGGTGTGGAGGAATCCTCTGTGAAAAACAATTTCTGATGTGCTTATCTGATGTCAAAACTTTGAAATGTTCTACAAGGCCAGATTTCCTTAGGAGTTTACATCAGTTTGACAAGTTTAGCATTTTGGTAAGAATACTGTACTGTACTATTGCAGCATCATAATTTTGAGTTTAAAAGATGTTGACCCTAAAAGGTTTTTTGTCCATTTCTTCTTTTTAATTAATGAATCCAGTGAAGGATTTTTGAAGATTCTGATCATTACCTACATGAAGATATTTCTTCTTTACAATGGTGTCCTACTAAAGCATTTGACTGAATTATAAGAGACCACACTAAAATACTACATTGATAGCCTCTTAAAAGAACAACTGAAATTTATTATGAAACAGTCTTTTATATATAAATTATCTAGATATTATATATATATGGAGAGTGGAATGGATGGGAGAAATAGGTGAAGATGTTTTGGCAAATTTTATGTTACTTTATCTTCTGATTCCTGGATTTAAATTCAATGAGCATATTTAAGCATTTATGTTTGATTGGAACAGGCTACCTTCTGCTTTATTCTTAGACATTTCCGTTTCTGAACTTTCTGAATATTAGATTGTACTGGTCACTTGTAGCTTTGGATTTCTTGCAGTTCTGCCAATGAGTTTTATCTGTGCAGAGACCAAAATATGCATGAGATTCTTCACCATGATATTACCAAGTTAAAACTAAGTTTTAAAGACACCTTAGCTTTTTGTGGCTAGATCTAGGACACAGAATTAGTTTTCAGACTTGACTATCAAATATTCATGCTGCTACAACATCAGGACACATCAATCAAATGAAAGCTGGATTGTTCTAGGCATTGTAAATACCCTAAATGAAACTATTTTCCCTGAAGGATTTGCTGTCTAAGAGATAGTTTTGTGTTACCAATTCTGGCAATTTTGTTACTCATTTTTCATTAATTAGAGAAGTGTTCCTCAATTACTCTCAGTCATCTTGTTAGAGACTGAAAGTCAGTGGTTTTTTAAATTTAAATAAATAAATAGAAAGATCAACCCTTGATTACTGTAAGAAAGAGCTTTAGGAAAAACACAACCCTAAAACCTTATAAGCAGGAAGAATAAATAAAGCAATTCCCAGAATGATTTGTATTTTGAGTAAATTTTATGGTTTTTAACACCTGAGTATGAAAGAACTGAAGTTGGATCATTGTATGGTTTATTTGCTTTTGTAAGTGCTACTCATTGCATGTTTATGGCTCTTAAAAAGATAATCTACTTTTCTACCTCTAAATTCTCTGTGCAGGCTGGGACAAATTTCAATTCAGATATAGATAGCACAGATGTCTGACTTTGACCTGAATTTGTATTTCTGAATTCTCCTCATTTTCCTCTCTGTGCCTACAACAACTAACTTTATGAAGTTAAACGTGCAGGTATTATGGTACTGCAGAGATGTAAATATTAATGTAAATTTCAGCTTTATTATTTTTATGCATTTAGTAAGAAACTCCTACCTCATTCTATTGTTCATTTAATAAGCCTTTTTATGCTCATAATCATGATCATAAATTTTGAATGGTACACTGAGCATTAGTTTCCATCATTTTCTAATCTGTTCCCAATTTAATTGATCTTTATCTGTAGAAACTTTTGAAATCATTTACAAACAAAGCCAGTTACCATCATTTATTTCTCTTTGTCCCTTATTTGGTCTCTGTCTCTCTGTCACTTTTTCTTTCCTTTTTCCTGTTTCCTGTTTCCTTTTTCCTTTTTCCTTTTTCCTTTTATTTTTTACCCCTTTTTCCTTTAATTTTGCTTCTTCACACTTTGGACATGATTCTGTACTTTCAGTCCCTGATAGACTGGTGTAAATGGGTATTATTCAGAAGGCACAAACTGCATATTATGCAACTATATATTGACTAAGATGTATATCTCTTTGAAGTTCCCTGCAAGTTTTAGTTTTAGTAGTTCTATAACAACTTTTGAACTTTTATAAATATTTTATTTTAAAAACATTTTATACTGTGTTGCCTTCATGCATTAGTTAAATAGTTAGTTGCAAGGCATAAGATGCATGAATGAATAAACAGGCTGAACCATCTCTATGTAATCTCTACTCCAGAGTTAACTGATATATGGGCCAATTCCTCTAGTGTAATTTGCAATGGCATTTGTAAACGTTTGTTTTATTTTCTTTTATATGTTTTAATAACATGAATTAAGTAGATCATAGAAGTGAGTTCTCACTGTTCTGAGATCAGGATATTCCGTACTGCTTAGATAGCATCAGCAATCTTGTCTTTCAAGTAGAAGCATTTGAAAGGAAACTTCAGATTTCAAATTTCTGCAGTTCATACATGGATAGAGGTATCACAGAATTCAGAATTTTAATTCAACTATTAAATAACACTACGAATAAAAGTCAGTTAAATAAATAATAAACCAGTCTTCTTAACGACTACTATAGTCCTTTCATTGGGATATCATTGTGTCTTTTTCTTTGATGATTATTTGAGACATGTTAAGGGGTTGCACAGATAAAATTAGTTTAAACTAAAAAAGTGTTTTATGTTGTGTTTAGCAAAAAATCAATATGTGTGTGATTAAAACAAAGACAGTGTCCTTCTTATTGTCAGTTATAAATATTAACAAAAACATAAATATATTTAGTGTAAAGGCAATACTAAAATGGACAAGCATAGTATCAAGGTAGCCATAGTTTCTTTCTACATAAATTATTATTTTTATTTCTCTATTAAAACTTGATTTTATTGAGTGGTTTTATTGTATGTATTGTTCATTTCTGAGTCAAGCAGAGCTAGAGAGGCATATTCATGGATTTTGTGCTGTGTTGTCTTGTAGACTGTACTTACTGATTCTCATTTGTTCTGTACAGGCTCCATCATCACCTTCTTCGCCCATAGCTAATGAACCAAAATACGAAAAGCGCTGGCTAGACACCTTATCAGTTCCTTTGTCAATGGCTCGAATCTCGAGGTACAAAACTGGAACAGATAAATTGAGGTTTGTAATCTAAAAAGGAAAGCACTGCATGAGTTAGCTGTACATAATATTTTGCTGTGAAGTATAGGTTATGTGTGAACTCTTTGAGTGGAGATATGAAAGTCATGTTATTAAAGCTGTACAGTCCATTTTCTCTTGAGATTAACACCATGTATGGTGATTACCAAAGAGAAAGTAAAAAAAGGAACATAAATGTAGCTCCCACAAATATGTTTCCATAGCCTATTTTATCTTGGGAATTCAGTTAGCATCAGCAGTTTGCCCAGACATTAAGTTTGCCATCACTTGAATTAATTTTTAAGATACAAACATTTCACTCTGTATCTCTGTAATAGAATAATTCTTCATTCTCAGGTTTTGATAATGTCAGTTAACATTCCTTTTTCTTTACAAATGATAACATACTGCACAATCATCATGACTATGCTATGTAGAAACTCATATTGACACCAGATTTTTGGCAGAGTATACTCTCCTCTGTTGTATTTTTGATTGTAGAATCTTGCCACATCTCACACACTTAGACAGTAGTTCATAAAGCATATATGAAATAAGATAGCAGAGCAGATTGTCCTGGACTTTGGGAAGTATGTGAAAATAAAGTGCAATTTAATGAAACTTCAGTAAACAATATACTTGAGAAAGGTTAGCAATTAGTCAAATATTCAGTCAAATAAGTGTTCAAGCATCACAAGTCAATAATAATAAATTGCCCAAAAATGTTTTAAATTCTTGTGCATCCTTAGTCTGAATGCCCCCATCAGTTTCTTCGTTCCTCCTTCAACTGACTTTTTCATTTGGAATAACCCTTTCAAATTTGTGCATTTTGAAAATGCCTATAGGTAACATACAGTCTGATACTGTACCAGGTCTGGTTGAGATGGAATTAATTTCCTTCATGTAGCCATACAGTGTTGTGTTTTGAGTTTGTGACTAGACCAGTATAAATAATGCATCAGTGTTTTGGTTGCTGACCAATGCTTGCATCAAGCATTCTTTCTTTTGCTTTTAAGATAATTTATATATTTATCCTGACCTGCAAGTTTTCACACTTTCCCAGGTCTCTCATCTGTCCTGCTGGAGGTGGGAAGTAAGCAGCTGTGTGTATGCCTAGCTGCTATGTCCCTCAGCTCATCACAGATACAAATATTTTTCACATGAGGAGGGAGGAGCTTAATGCTTTCAGTCGCAGTCCTGGACAGATGCATTCTCTTGTGAAGCATCTGGCTTTCATGTATATTTCATGTACACTGCACTCCTTTATTACTGCTGTTCTGTTATCTTTGCTGTTGTTATTAAACAGCCCAAAATAAGATGGAATCCTTTCATAAAGACTATCAGCATCCTATGGTGTTTTAGTTGTACTAAACATTCCTTGTGTATTTTTGTAATCCAACAAGAATATCTAAAAGAGCATTAAAGAAATACCACTGTGAGATTAATTACAAATGTTATTCCCATGTTCACTGCACACTTTGCTTGTAAGAGGAAAGCAGAAAGATATTTGTTGATATAAAATAGATATAACATGGTAACTTGAACAGTGATGACAGTGACTTAACAAGATTCAAAATGGCTACATATCTTTCACTATTTGCTACTGGGTGGAGGATGCAAAAATCTAAGATCAAATCTTAGCCAAGCAAGTGTAGCTTTAAAAAACAATAACTCTCTTACTGAGGATTTGTTGGCAAGGTGTCACTATGTCTCAGTTTAATCTCTGTGCAAGCATTAAGTAACCTCAACCTCAAGAGGTGACTCCATTCAAGGAGAGATTCTGGTGTTCAGCCAGCTGCTTGCAAGATGGAATCTCAAAGAGATTCTTAGGCTGCTTGGTACTTATGGGGTAAGATGACTGGGTTATAGTATACATCTTAGAATTGGCTCTGTTGAAGTAGAGGTCTGCTATTAGTTCTCTGAGCACACAGTTTGAGACAGTTTGGTGGTCATTAACTGTCTCTGGTAAAATCTTGACTGCCGTCAGTCCAGAGGACAAGGTCTTTTGCACCTCACTGTATGCACTAGGCCTTGGGCATAACGACCAGGCAATGTTGGGGGCAAGGTGTTTATTCTTATCTAATAGAACCAGATTGCTATTACCCCATTTTCTCCTTTTCTAGAATTCATATTCATGTTCTTAGTACTATCCTACTTGCAGTCTTTCTTTTATGTTTATCCATGCTCATATAAGTATAAATTACAACATTTATCTCAGTAACTGCTCTCTAAAATGAAGAGTCTGCTTTGCATGAAATAAAACCTACACATGATTGTAAGTATAAATGGTGACATCAGACAGGATAACCGTCCTCCTTTCAATCATACCTACATTCCTTTGCTTTCTTTCACGTATGAATGAATTCATGCCAATTTCCCTGAATGTAACATGGATCCAGCTGACAAATTTTGCAGTTCTCTGAATATTTACTTGGAATCTATCTGCATAAAAACATAAGCAAAGTACCTTCTTTTCCAATATTGAGTTTGTGAGTCTATGTATTGTTTTTTTCACATTTTGTCTCCCTCAAGTTCTCTTCATGACTTTGTTTTGTTGTAATGCTTCTTTTGGTATTTGCCTACTGTTAGGTCAAACAGAATCTGATATGTTACTGTAACATATTTTTGTTGCCTTTACTTTAAAAAAATACATAGTATAACAATGTATAGCTTGCCAGCATCTATCTCAATATTTATGACCATATTTCAACTAGAAATAGGTTTTATATCTAGTGCTGTTTATTAGACTATAGTATAAATTTTTGTGACTTAGATCGAATCTAGTCTAATTTCAGTAGATTAAAACATTATTTCCTTTGTGGTTAAAAAATGTTTTTTAATTACCTCAGTTTAAATACACTGGAATTTTCCAGAAACTTTGGCAAGAAAGGACATACTTTTACCTTTTGTGTCCTGAGATAATCAGGAAAATCTGTATCTGTTCAACTGTTGTTCTTTTTTTTTTTTTTTTTTTTTTTTTTTTCAGTGAAAGAAAAAGGAGTTATCTTTTGACGTTTCATTACATTTCATTTTTCTTTTGACTTTTCCCACAAAGACTGAAGATTGGTGATTTAACAACACAAGTATATTTCTGATAGATTTCGTCAGTAGCAGACATACTTCAAAAAAAAAAAAAAAAAAAAAAAAAGATGTTTTTCCTACCTTATACTTAAAGAAGAATAAATACATTGCAAAGAGTATGAAGTGTCTCTTCCATGTAATGAAACAAAAGAAAAACATCCCAATCACAGCGTAATTCAAAGGAAAGACAAAAATTGTATCTGATGTTCCTCATCTTCTTTCATAGAATCATAAAATTGTTTAAGTTGGTAGGAGCCTTTAAAGGTCATCTACTCCAACTTCCCTGCAGTGAACAGGGACACCTACAGGTTGCTCTTAGCCCCATCCAGCCTAACCTTCAACATTTCTGAGAACGAGGCATCCACCCCCTCTTTGGGCAGCCTCTTCCAGTGCTTCACTACTTTTATTGTAAAAAACTTCTTCCTTATAGCCAATCTAAATCTCCTTTCCTTCAGTTTGAGACCATTTCCTTTGGTTCTATCACAGCAGAGCCTGCTAAAGAATCTGTCTCCTTCTTTCTTAGAGCCCCTCTTTAGATACTGAAAGGCCACTCTCAGGTCTTCCCAGAGCCTTCTCTTCTCCAGACTGAACAGCCCCAGCTCTCTCAGCCTGTCCTTGTGTTCCACCCCTTGGAGCATTTTTGTGGCTCTCATCTGGATGCACTCTACCTCAGGTCTGTACTGAGGACTCCACACCTGGACACAGTACTTCAGGTGAGGTCTCACCAGTGCAGACTAGAGAGTCAGGATCACTTTCCTTGACCTGCTGGCTGCCATTAATCTTTCCCACATTTATAGTTATATCTTCAGTAGGTGTGAAGATAAGTGTATTGACTACCCAAATCCCCTTCAGTTAGTGCAATTGATATTGTTGATGTCATTAGAGTATATTTGTTTGTAACATGTGAGTTTAGTTTCTTCTTTTTGATTACTTACTATGTTAATTACTGTTACCTTGCCTTTACAATATAGCACTGCTACTTTTATCATTCTGCAGTTCTTGCCATTTTTCCATGTGTGGGTACATAGCATTTTTTCACTGCTGGAGTTCATCAGTAAATTCAGTGTAAGTGAAATAAGTATGTCTTGCTCACCCAAGAGCTTGTTGTTCATGGGGTAGTTTGGGGCTTTTTAAAATTTTTAATACTAAAAAAAAAAATAGTAATATAGATGTTGGAGAATGTAGTACCATTCATTTATAATTTTTATTTTTCTTACAGAATGTTTAAATACTTATTTGAAAATATCTATAGCGCTTACAGCAGTTACTAGATAGTCTTAGATAATCATTTTTATTTGCTGTATTGACAGGAACTTTAAGTGAAGGTAGCTATAACTTCTTGTACATTATGAGTGTAGAGAAAGAAAAATAATTTCTTGTTTTGAGGATGGAATTTAAATAGAAGAAATTGGTGAACTAGAAGTTACTTTATCCAGGCTCTAGATGTTCTTGTGACTATGATCCCAACTACAAAAACAACAATTTTGGTATTAATTTCTGTTTCCTGGTATTCTGGAGATTGCAGTTACTGCAGTGTATTGTTCCAGGGTTTTGTGTGTGTTTTTTATTGGCTCACTATATTCTTAACAGAGAATCTTTCAGAGAGATTCTATTTCCCATTTTAGCATTTCAGTATGATAACAAAAAGCCTTTATTTATGTATTTAATTAAGAAAATAATGAAATAAGCCATCTTGATCGAGGTGTGGGAATTAAACATATTCTCTCTGAGTTACAAAAACTGAATTAGTATTTGATTGTAGTTTTTTGTTAAAGATTAGGGCGAATATGAGGAGAAGAATTAAACAAGAATGAATATTTACATAAGAAATATCACAGCCAAACTGAAATGCAGCAGTAAGGTGAGAGAGTGAGTAACACCTGATAACAGGTAAGATGAGAAAGAAAGTAAAGGTTTGAAGG